GCTTTTTTTCAATGTTTTCCAAGTCAACTCTAAGGTCAATAAATTTCTGCTTCCAAATTGAGCTACTCTGAAATTCAATCAACTGCATTTCAAAGTCAGCCATGTCTATCCATGAAAACATTCGTAAGTTTAGTTCTTCTAGTTTCATGCTGTCTGAGGCTGAAACCAAAACACTGGTCCGATCTAGGAAGGCAGGGAGAGTTAAGGCAGAGGCATAGAAATTGCTCTTCCCCTCTCTCATCATATCTTAAAGTCTATGGTCTTTAAGAGAACTTGTTATGTACAATTATTTATTTATATAAGATGCACCTACACTGAATTTATCTGAAAAATAAAAAAGTCGATATTAAGAAAAAAATTATAAATGGAAAATTATAAGAGAGGGTTTCGTGTGCCAGCAAAAGTTACTGGCGTGCCATGTTTGGCACGTGTACCAGGGGTTGCCCACCCCTGATCTAGAGCTTTGTAGGTAACCACTAGAGAATATCAAAACAGAATCTATAGAACAAGGTTGCCTGTGGATAAGAATAGTACTGGTCATGGAGTTGGGGGAGAGGGGAAAGAAGAGGACTGTTCTGTTTTCTGAAATGCTTTTTGTATTATCTGACAGGCCATTGTGGCAGAAACAGATACGTGGCCCCTTCAGTGACAGACTTGTTGCCCTGGCTACTGAGAGTTTTGTTGACGGACAGTTTTCAACTCTCAGACCCTTCAGCAATTATTTCAGCTGCAGAAAGCCACTTCTCCCAAAGTATGGTAGACTCCCAGGCAGTCCACATTTAATGACTGACTAATTCTGAAGTTGGCCTGGCCATTTCAACCCAACATGGGATAGATTACTCTTAGGAGCTATTCTATTCATATATCAGTTGGCCACTTGTATGTCTTCTTGGGAGAGGTGTCTGTTCAGGTCCTCTGCCTATTTTTTAATTGGATTGTTTATTGGGTGGTAAATTGAAAAGTATAAGGTTAATGAAAGGGATTGTAGATTCAAGGAGATAAATTAGGAATGACTTGTGGTAATCCAGCTGGAGGGAATGGAGAAAAATCTAGAATAGATGGAGTTGAACTGCAGAAGAGAGAAAATATTCTGAAAATATTTCCAAAAATAAGTCACAGATTAGGGGAACTATGCATAAACGTTATTACCATCATTTAGCTATGAACTCTCCTCAAAAAATGGAGTGGTTAACTTGCCTCAGACTTTGTATAAAAGATATTCCAAGGGGTAAAACCCTCCAAATGAATTCACCAAGGCTTTCCATTTCAGAAAATCTGGGTAGAATATAACAATAACAACAGCAAAAGATGCTACTGTTGTTGTTTGCTTTTTTTAAGAAGAAAGTTGAGTCATAACCTAAAATAAATATTCTTTAGACAGTGAGGAGTCACATTGTCTAAGAAGACTTCGAAAAGTAAAATATAGGATATGGATAAGCAAGAGTTTGAGAGTCCCATTATAAGTAAACTTCACTGAGATTGTCCCAGTATTCTGATCTTCCACATACCAGAACACTTACAAACACCCACTCCTCTTGAAGACAAGAGAACAATAAAATTCAACCTACTCAAAGTGGCAAATAACAAAAGATTTTCTCTTCTTATAAATACACATGTAGTGCTTATTGTTGCTAAATCATCACAACTGCTAATGCATGAATCAAGAGGAATAAAAAGAATTGAAAGAAAGTAAAGTCATAAGGTTAAATATAAATGAAGTATTTCTCCCATAAGGCAGAATTGTTGAATTTTTAAATTATGTGTAAATGTTTTTAAACTCCACAGCAATGGAAAATCTTTAGTAGCAGTAATTTTCATTTATTAATAATAAATATTATTAATATGATTATTTTAGAATTCATGGAGAAAGTGCAATGATTTATTTTTGTCAAATAGTTGATGGTTTTGACACATCACAAAGCAATTTTTTTAGTATTTTTCTATAATTTTCCCAAACACATTTATTTCAAAAGAAATGTAATAATGTGTTTCTGAGGCAACTAATGTTAGCTCAAATTTTTTAACTCTAATTGATCTCATTAGCGCAGATTTGTTCCTTCTCACTCAGAGAGGGACAAAAGCTGTTTCAAAAATTTCCCAGGAGTGAGTGGAGGAGGGGGTCCCAATATATAGTGACAGGAGAAGATTTGACTTTGGGTGGTAAGCACATTGTACAATATACAGATCTTGAAACCCACACCTGAAACTTATATGTCCATTTGACCAATGTCATCCCAATCAATTTAATAAATAATAAAAATTTATTTTTAAAATTTCCATATAGTTATAGCGTTGCACTTTGAAAAATTTTCCCTGAAATTCTATCAGGAAAACATGTTTTCTAATACTGCACATTTAGTTGGATGGTATAAAAGTATTGTTACAATCTCCAATATGATCAGGTCTTACATTCACACAGTCCCACTTTGATCCCCCTCACAGTTTTGCCAAAGTATGTTGCTCTCTCACCATCGCATCTTTAGAAATTTGGTTACATATTTTCTGAATAATCTATAATCCAGAATGTTAGCAGAACAATTGCAATAAGAGGAGAGCAGAATTAGAGCAGGGAGCCAAATGTAGATACCAACAACAGCATATACACCACTAGATCTCCCTTAAAATTAAGGCCAAATCTCTAGCAATGAAATCAAAGTGAAATGTTCAATTCAGACTAGATCCTACAATAAAGCTAAATATTGGCTATTAATATTAACCAACAAACCTTAACAATATTGAAAATAATATAAAGAAAAATATCTGTTTCAAATCCTTACTTTTGTTATAATCTGACATGTAACTGGACCCCACAAAATGTTGAGTTCCCTCAAAAAATAAAAGATTGATAATATTGTTACAGTGATTCAAAAGTAATATTAGCAATAAGTTAAATCTTATTTTTATTTATTCAATATCTATTAAACCATAATTGAATGTAATAGGAATTATATAGGGTGTGGAAAAAGCAAGTTTACAGTTGTTCATATGGAAAATAATAGCTAATAAAAAATAATACAAGAATAAATACTTTTGCATACTCACAACTGTAAACCTACTTTTGCCCCACCGAATACTAAGTATCCTATCTAATAAAAGAGAAACATGGTAATTAGCGTACGACCGCTACCCTTCCCATTGGCTAATCAGGGCGATATGCAAATTAACTGCCAGCCAAGGTGGTGGTTAACCGCCAACAAAGATGGCGGCTAATTTGCATACATAGGCGCAATGATGGGAGGCAAAAGGGGAAAGATGGAAGAATGGTGGCAGGCAAGAGCTGGGGGGCGGGCAAAGGCAGCCAGTGATCGCCATCAGAAAGCCCAGCAGGCCAGGCGGCACCCCCGGAGGAAGAGAGAGCCGGGGTGTAAGACCACCAGGGCCAGGGGTGCCGACTGGCCTGCGACCCCCTGATCTGCGATGGCGAAAGGAGGGGCGGGCCCCCAGGCACACAGCACCCCGGCACCGGGTGCCCCTGTGACTGCAGTCCCCTGATCTGAGATCTTGAAGGGAGAGGCCGGGCGCAGGCACGGCTGCACCCGGGGGACCAGGTGCAGCCGTGCCTGCGGCCCCGGATATGCGATCATGAAGGGAGGGGCTGGGCAGCAGGCAAAGCCACAGGGTGCAGCCTGCCTGCGGCCCTCTGATCTGCCAGGCGAAGGGAGGGGCGGGGCCACAAGAATGGCGGCACCCAGGGCATCCGGTGCAGCCTTGCCTGTGGCCCCTGGATATGTGATCATGAAGGGAGGGGCGGGGCAGCAAGCATGGCAGCACCCTGAGCACCGGGTGCAGGCCCAGGGGGCAGCCTGCCTGCGGCCATCTGATCTGCAATCACGAAGGGAGGGGCAGGGCCACAGGCACGGAGGCACCCAGGGCATCCGGTGCAGGGTGCAGCCATGCCTGCAGCCCCTGGATCTGCAATGAGGAACTGTATTAAAGGGTCGCGGCATTAGGAAGGTTGAGAACCACTGGGATAGAGTGTCAGCCTGCGGACTGAGGGGTCCCAGGTTCAATTCCGGTCAAGGGCATGTACCTTGGTTGCGGGCACATCCCCAGTAGGGGGTGTGCAGGAGGCAGCTGATCGATGTTTTTCTCTCATCGATGTTTCTCACTCTCTATCCCTCTACCTTCTGCTCTGTAAAAATCAATAAAATATATTTTAAAAAAATAAAAATAAACCCTCTGGCTTGCAGAGTTGCTAAAACAGTTAGAAAGCAAAGTCTCATCCCTTCCCATTCATTCAACAAATACTTCATATGCTCCTTCAATAATCACACTGGGAATGGGTGTTTGTTTGTTTGTTTGTTTGTTTGTTTGTTTGTTTGTTTGTTTGTTTGTTTGTTTGTTTGTTTGTTTGTTTGTTTGTTTGTTTGTTTGTTTGTTTGTTTGTTTGTTTGTTTGTTTGTTTGTTTGTTTGTTTGTTTGTTTGTTTGTTTGTTTGTTTGTTTGTTTGTTTGTTTGTTTGTTTGTTTGTTTGTTTGTTTGTTTGTTTGTTTGTTTGTTTGTTTGTTTGTTTGTTTGTTTGTTTGTTTGTTTGTTTGTTTGTTTGTTTGTTTGTTTGTTTGTTTGTTTGTTTGTTTGTTTGTTTGTTTGTTTGTTTGTTTGTTTGTTTGTTTGTTTGTTTGTTTGTTTGTTTGTTTGTTTGTTTGTTTGTTTGTTTGTTTGTTTGTTTGTTTGTTTGTTTGTTTGTTTGTTTGTTTGTTTGTTTGTTTGTTTGTTTGTTTGTTTGTTTGTTTGTTTGTTTGTTTGTTTGTTTGTTTGTTTGTTTGTTTGTTTGTTTGTTTGTTTGTTTGTTTGTTTGTTTGTTTGTTTGTTTGTTTGTTTGTTTGTTTGTTTTGGTTAATCCTCACCTGAGGACATTTTTGCATTGATTTTTTTTGGTTTATTTATTTTTTTTTTTTACAGAGAGTGGAAGGGAGGGAGAAAGACAGAAACTAAAATGAGAGACATCTAATGGTTGTCTCTTGCTGAATCCCTGACCAGGGCCCTGGATTAAGCCGGCAACCCAGGTATATGTCTTCAATTGGAATCCAACCTGGTACCCTTCAGTCTGCCCGCAAAAGCACTATCCACTGAACGAAACCAGCATTTTTTTTTCTTTTTAAGTCCTCCTCTAAGGATATGTTCTTTTCATTGATTCTAGAGAGAGAGGAAGGGAGAGGGAAAGAGAAAGAGAAAC